GATTGGTTATTCATGTCATATATAGAAGTAAGTGTATATAAGGAAGTGTTTCCAAAAATGGAAAGAGGTGGTCTGGGTTCCACTGTGTTTGATTTATTACATGAGCAATATCTTAGCAAATTGAAGAGGCTCTTATTTTATATTCTAGCTTGTCAATATTTGTAATTTGAATTCCTAATTCGTACAAAACTATAGACATCACAAACATCTAATTTGAACTAGTGCTACATTCAACATACCAGATAACACACAAAAATCGATGTTTATCTGTGTTTTTATAATATTTACTTTTAAATTGAGACATTGAGTAATATATAATACCAAAATGTGAGTTATAACCTACAGTTTGATACCAAACTTAATGACATAAATTCATGAAACAGTAGTTCAATAAAATTTTGAATGCGAGTCAGCAAACAAGATGATATGGCCTTTCACCCCTGACCTGTCTTGAAAGGGTTAACATATCTTCTGAGCAATTCTTTGAAATCAAAGAATACTGTTTTTAAAATTCTTTTCCTTCACTCTATTTATTTTTTCAACAATTGCTGTCACTATTGTTCTTCATCCTTAAATAAGTGAACTCTTTTAATTGTTCTAACTCTTTACCTTCTACTTTTAATGCATATCTTAGGGGTTCATTAGATCTTGAAACTACCATTATATTAGTTTTGTTAACATTAACTTTTGAGTCCATAAGCTTTTCATTTATCAACAAGCTTATTAAGTAACTGTATCTCAGATTCATCTGTAAATGCTAAGATCAGCATAAAGAATACAGAGGATTTTTATTTAATCTTTCCTAGCTTTTATTCCCTTTTTGAATTTATTTCATAGCTTAAAAGAAAAACTTTTTCTTAAATTAAAAATTGACTCAGTTAATCATTGATAAGAACATTCAATTAATAAGTCTTTGAAAAAGAAGATACCCAAAGAAGTGATGAGAAGTCTCAGAATTGAACAAATTGTGGCCACATCTGAAAGGAAAGATATCTTTACCATTTTTCTGGCCCTGCTATATTCTAATGTATAAAAGTTAAAGTTTCAAATACTAAACTTAGAAAAACTGATAGTTCTAGAAAATTTTTATTTTGCTAAATAAAACTTGTACAAACTTTAAAATTATTCATTAAAGTTGTGAAATAACCAAAAAGTAGGAATCTAACTTTGCTCGATAGCTACTACAGTGGTGGACATGATGCAGGTAAAACTTATTTTTGCAATAAATATTTAGGACTTATATATTTAAAAAGCTCTTTATTTTTTCCCAGTGGTATGATTTACTTTTGAATATCTTGTAATAATTAAAGGTTCAGTTTCATCATTATCTTTAGCTCTTCAAACTTATATTGTTACACAGCATGCTGAATTGTATATTCCAGATATATTATTACAATGCTAAAACAAGGGAATCTTCATGGACTAAGCCAGAAAATGTGAAAGTCCTAACTCAAGACCAGATAGAGGCTATGGCTACTGCTGCTGGGGTAACTACCACATCTTCAACAACTACAGCTGCTCAAGCTGCTGTAGCACAAGGTAATCAACTGCTAAAGTTTTTAAATCAATCATAAAAAAACTTAAAAACACTTGTAGTGTTTATTTAATAGAGTCTAAAGATGTGGTTGGTTGAATCAGTATTGTTTCGAATCTTATGGACTTTTTCTCTTTTCAGAATCTTCTACTTGATATTTTTTTTCTACTTCTTCTAAATATGATAAATTTCTTTTTCTTCTCAGTTATTTTTACATGCACTATTATTTACCCCAAAGAAGTTTTTTTTTATGTGAGCTGTTTTTTAAAATTATTTTTTCTCTATACATCATATGGGCTTGCTCTTGCAACTAGTGCTAACATTATATACCATTTTCCACTGAGTTCTTTCCATTTCTGCCACAATGGGTTAGAAGTTATTGTTTTCTTACACACTTTGTTTTTATTTACCTTTCCTGTTAATTTACAACATAAATTCAATACAGCAGCACTTTTTTGATGCCAATTGATAAAATTAGACTGGTGTAATTTTTATTTCAACAATAACCTTGAACTGGAGGTAATTGCTAGCTGGTAATCACTGTGTAATTCCATTTGTTAATTTTTCTTTTCCTGACTAAAATTTGTAATTTCAATGAAGAAAGAGTTTGTAAATGATGTAGATGCCTAATTATTCAATTTGCCACTTCCTCTGCATGAGACTGTAGTTTTCCAAATTGTGGCTCTTCACTGTCTTCAGTACTGCTTGGAAGAGCAAGCCAGAGAGATACAGTAGGGCTCCATAAAGGAGTTGATGTAAAGGACTTCACATTAAATCCTACAGATTGCTGTATATATTGTCTGTCAGTTTACAGTGAGAATGTGATCTTCTATACTAGTGAATACTCGCTGGCAAACACTATATATGTTTTTCTGTATGCACAATTTTTATTTCTAATGCATTTTTTATGTAAAGAAAACTTTTACTTGTTTAGATAAACTCCTTATCTGGAAGTAATCCATTTGTGGCCAGTTATATCATTTTTTCATTTGTACAAGATAGCTGTACCATATTTTTATTCATCTGTCCTGTTGTTGTCCTTATGGTTGTTTTTTCTACATTAGTTAGCTTTTTGTGTGGCACCTAACATTCCAATACTATTTTGGAGGATGATCACTTCTTTGCTTTACAATTTTTGATAGCATTTTAGCTGTTTGCATTTCAAAGCTTCCTTTTCATTTCTTAGCTTTCAGAACGTGCAAGTCATTTTGGTTAACTTCTGTAAATCATAATTTTATTAAAATTTTCTTTTCTTCCATTATGTTTATTTCGGTTATGTTTCAATTGTACTTTGTCCTGTGTCAAAGTAGTTAAGGAAAGTTCAAAACAGGTGGCTTGCATCTGAAATACTAAAAACATTTTCTTGTTGAATTGCTTTTATACTGTCTTGTTTAGAAAACAAAGTATACTTTAACTTACTCTGTATTCTTCACTCTCCATCTTCCCATAGCTTATTGCTCATGCATCAAGAGAAATTACATAATCCCAGCTCTTCTACCATAAGCTAAAATGTCTTGTTCACATTCATGCTGTTAACTTTGCCACAATGACTTTTGAAGTCAATGTTAACTAATGCTTCTAATGTTTACTAATATTGGAAAGCCTGCAACTTCTTTGAAAGCCTCCTTACTCACATAGTGTGCAGGGAAAGCATGTTTTGAATTCTCAGCCCTTATTAACTCTTTCAGCACAGGCTCGATCCTGGGACCGACCTCGTAACCACTTTGTGCTTGTTATAGTTTTTATGCTATAACTTTTAAATTAGTAAGCATATGTTCATGAAATTTGGCATATTATCATTAACCATTACAATGTTTTTATACACAGAATATAATTTTTTTTTATTAAGTCTTAAGGTTTGTAAAGCAATGTTTTTCTCATGCCTTTTTTCTTTTCACATGTTGCCTATCCAACATGCAAAGTAATTTTCATTTTAAGATTAAAAATACTTTTATGCATCAGAAAATTTTCAAATTTCACATGTGAAATCTGTATAATGTCCAAATAATTATCAACTATTTCTTAAGAAAAAACTATATTTTATCCGTTACTTACACTAACGATTCTCTGTACAGATTCGGTCGATTTGACCCGACCTTGTAACCACCATAAAACATTTGGAAATAAATATAAATTATACATTTTTTGTCAACAAATTATAACCCGTAAACATAAATGTTCAGACTAAACAGATTAAATCTCATAACATTATACATTTATATATATTTATTTTTATTATATTGACCTTTCAGCCGTGCCTGGCTAATGATACAGAAGTTACAGTGATGCGGTGAACATGCATTAATTTTACCTTATACAATAATGTAAAACTGACCTTTAGTTTTTACAGAGTGAACTGTCTTGGCTGTGTGTTAGTGGGCTAGTATTTTGTAAAATACCGTCATATTTCAATTATTATACATTATATATGTATATAGATTATTACTATTTAGAAACTTAACATTCAACACATCATAGAAAAAACTCCTGTTCTCCATGTATTGTATCATAGCTCCAATGTTAAGGAGATCACCTTATTTGTTTTTTATATTTTTTCTTTTACAATTTGGCAAAAAATTATTACAATTTCACTTGTCATAAGACATTAGTATTAGGTCTATTTCATTTTAAATACTACATTCTTAATCTAGTCTCTTAGAGATTTTCAAGAATAAGAAGTATACATTATAATAGTATTCCAGTCACTATTTATGCAAGTCATTTGATACAGAAACAATTGTTATAGTGTTTACACCTTTTACAGTCTGGCAAAAAATTATTACAACTTTATTTGAGTCTGCCTAGGTCTTTTCGATTCTGATTAAACCAGTTTTGTGACTTCCTTTTCAGAGTGGATTAAGGTAATCTTAGACCTTAGGAGCTTGTCCAGTCTTTAATTGTTAACGGTCTCTCCCATCCTGTAAGAATCTTCCACTACAAGTACAAGAGAATGCTTTACAATCTGACCCTGTGACCATACTTTGGCATGTACATGGCTACACAAGTTGCGTTATTGCTACCAAACCTCATTATATATATATATATATTATTAATGTGTGTTTAAGGTGCAGAGTTATCCTGCTGTGAAAGATGCCTGAGTGTCCTCACCTTAGTCCTGTATCCTTGAGGCTGGTCCTTTTCATTCAGTTTTCCCATTAATCCAGTCCAATGGTATTTACTTTGATTCTAGATTATACTCAAACGTAATTCATTTATTGTGGTTTAGATTGTTACCTTCCTGCCTAAGAGCCTTACTTTTGGGAAACCAATGTTCCCTATGACATTTCAGTTCCGTTCTCCATTTTAATATGGGTATTTAGTTTTTAATATTACAGAGGTGAGTATACTGTTTTGAATTTTATATTTTTAGAATTAAAATGAATTTCAATGAGGTACTTACCTCTGAAATAAATTTCCATCCACCTCCACATAACCAGGAAAAATGTATTATATCATCATGACTGCAAACAAAAAAAACAACAAAAAAACTAGCCTATGGTGGGAAAGCATGGGGGCTTATGTATGACCAGTAAGCCACATGGAAGTTTGGAGAATTCTAGGTAAGTTGAATTATACTTTGCATTGTATGAAGGATATTAAAGTTTTAAGTCACATGGTTGTGACAAAATAGACATTTAGTATGTTAGAAAATTCATTTTAAATTTAAAAATATAAAATTTTATAATTAAATATATTAAACTATTCTACTTACAACCCATTCCAAAAAATTCCAGCCCAGAGTGCTTCACTGCAGAAATTGGGACAAACAGGTACCATGACAACTACAACTACTACTCAGCCAGTTCCAGAAGTTTCGACTGCAATGAATCCTGTGTCCACAGTAAGCACAACTTCTGTAGGTGGTATGCACCCTCTAACAGGTATGCCTCCTGTTAACATGTTCCAGCCACCACCGTTTGGACTTCCACCTCCATTTAGTGTTCCTCCTGGCATGCCTCCTCCTGGTAAGAAATACTATGTAAAGTGTTTATTCAGCACAAAGTGGTTTGTGTACCTTTTCTTCAAGTAGTAACAACACATAATGGGCTACACTGTGTTTTATAGGTTTTACTATTTGATTGAATTTATTCCTTTGAAAAGGTGTAACCAATCAAGATGTTAATGAAAACATTATAATTGGTGAATCTGTAGTTGATTTATAGGGATTAGGTATAAAGGAGTAACTGGAATAGATTGGTAGAAACATGTAAAATCTTTGTTTTTTGAAAGGCTAATGTTTTATTGATAACTAGTTTTTGTAGATGTGCTGGAACAAAAAAAAAACATTATACTAGTCGTATGAAGAAAATTCTTTTGATTGAAGCTATTTATTATAAAGTAGAATAGAGAAAGAAATAGTTTACAATGCCAAATAATTGTCACTCATTCAGGTGGTTTTTAATTTAAATTGTTATTTGATGATAGGACTATAGTTTTAGTAATGTTTCTTCCATAAATAAATTTTTAAACATTGACAAGAAAATGACATTCCAATCACTAGTTGAACATAGTTGTCAGTCTTGCATCGATGATTAAAGAAGAGTGAAACATATTTATAGCTTCTTTCTTACCTGCACAGAAATTTTTGAAGCTGACTGGCCAAGAAGGATGTTTTCAGTAGTATGTGAGCTGTAATTTTAAGCTGTTGTTAATATATACTGCTTTATGTGGTATTTCCAATTTTTTACTTTCAAAACATTTTTCCAGGTGATTTATCAGGAAAGGTGCTCTTTCAGCAATATTTAACATTTAAAATCTAAATCTTACATGATTATATGTCTAAAGAATCTACATTTTATTAATTTTTTATACCTGGTAGAAACTAATGTCTCTTACTTCATTTTATGGACTTCCTGTTGTAAACAGAAATATGTTACTAGTGGAATAACTTGACAGTTTAGCTGTCAATGATAATTAAAGTTTCTTCCATGATGTATAGAATTTAGATCTTAAGAGTTATTTTAGTGATAACATGCTAATACAATTTATAACAGTTTATATGCCTATAATTTACATTATTGGTATGAACGCATTTACAAGTTTCCCAACAGGCGAAGTGTTGTAGATCATGTTCTTTTTATTTATATATTTGAGGAAGCTTTTTAAAATTATCTACATTTTTACATTGATTTTAACACTATATCACACACAGTTGTTTTCAAGTTCTCAATGTTGACATTATTTCAAAGTTAACCTTATGCATGATAACTGTTATTTGAAACATAATCTTGTTGTGTGATAATTATATCCACAGAATACCATGTTGTCAAATACAAAGTTAACCTTATGCATGATAACTGTTATTTGAAACATAATCTTGTTGTGTGATAATTATATCCACAGAATACCATGTTGTCAAATACAAAGACTTGTAATGAAGCATTATGCTATGTTATTACCAATTCTCCCACAACTTGTGTATTATTATTAATCTTTTTAACCCTTTTCCTGCATAGTTTGGATATATCTGAATAAACATTTATACTCACTTACTGCGAAATTTGGATTTACCCCACGGCTACCAAAAAAAAGTTTCCCTCTACTGGGACATGTGGGAATATCCCCCTGTACTCCATACAATCACCAAGCCTGCGTGTGTGCTGCCATCTGTATTCTACACTGTGAAACCTGGATGTTTATTGCCTCATTACAGAACTGCCAATTTGCAGGAACACATATATAATCTATATAAAGACAGCTTCTTTATATCTTGGATATTGTTATCTTAATAATTTGTTTTATATATGTAATGATTTTCGCCTCTTATTGACTTAGTTTTAACTATATTTATGCCATTTACTGGAGAACGCTTTTCTTCTAATTTTCCTCAATTTTTTGTTTAAATCATTATTTTTCACTATCCAGTACAGTTTTCAAGGAATATTACTGTCAGATATAAAAAATATAGCTTATTTCAATATTGAAAAAGTAATACAAAGGGTCAAATTAATACTTTTATTTTTTGTTGGATAATTGACACTATTTGGAAATCAGCCTGAAAATTAATTGCGCAGTGATAGGTTAAAACAATTTAAATTTATCAATCCTGAATTTATTTATTTATATTTGCATAAAGAAGCTTCAAAATTTAGAATACTTTTTATTAAGTAATTTGTTTTCTTTCTGGTGAAGAACATGATTTTCTAAGTGCACAGTTTTTGTATCTATCAAGATTTATTTATTGAGCTGATTCTCAACATATACTTAAAATCATTATATATATATATAGAAATGAAAAGCTTTACAAGAGGATTTTTTGCATCAGCAATGGACAAAGTAGTAAATTTGATATAAAAAAATCCATGTTTTAATTGCTTAATCATTATTTTGCAAAAGATATGTTTTAGCCACTAAATATTGTACTTGCTAACATTTTAAAAGTTCACTTATTAATTGTAGCATTACTTCTGTATCTTGAAATATAGAGAGATTATGAGTATTGCACAGTTGTTCATATTTCTATGTTTAACGTAGCAAAACAGTAATTAATTTCCCCCTATAAAATTAATACACATTTGTTTTAAACCCAGCTCTTCCATGGTATTGTTTTTTACAACCAAACTTGATGTAAAAAGTTGTTTCAAAATTTCATATTGGTAATCAGCCTTAAGAAAAATTGTTTTACTTCACAAAAATTCCATAGCTTCATCAGATTCCAGTTTGACAACTTGATAGTAACATATCATTTGCTTCTATTGCCCATGTTATATTCCCAAAATATTATTTTAGTTATGTTTAAGATAGATATCTACTTCTTTTGACCAAACAAAATTCCCGAAAAGAAAGGAAATGCTATCACTTCACTGATCCATACAGTTCTTCCAACATTCAATTATAAAATACTGACAACTAAAATAGTAAGGTAGTTAAGATTTTTAACGTGGAAATAAAGTAACATATTTTAAATAATTATTCATTTTTAATGGTATGTGTTGTTTTTGGTATATAGTATATACAGTAGTGTTTTGTCTACAGTTTGTGACTCTTCATAAGAATTGGTAAGTGTACAAAATTTGAAGCAATATAAATAACACCTGAAAAGTAACAACAAAAAAACCATAATTACCACTCAAAGTACCAGTTTGTTTTGACATCATTCACTTCTGTTAGGTTTCTGGTATTGAATAATTTTATATTTCTGACTTTCACACAACTCACTGTAAAGAAGTCACCAAAATTTAATTAATTATTGGGAATAATTACAGTATTTTTAGTGTTTTAGTTCAAATTGTATGTAACTTGTATGTTATTAGGGACCCTGTATCCAACAAAATCATGGATCCACAAGCAATTTGATGTCTTAAATAGTCTAGAAAATTTTGTTTAAAAAGCTGATAGGGGGCTCATATGTCCCACCATTGGTAATTTTTTGATTACTTGTGACATTGAATAAAGTTTTATTTTTAAATTTAGTGTTTGAAATAGGTAATTGATAAAGAGTTAACATTCTGGACTGCTTGAGTGAAACATAAGCTACATTTGGTTGATGTTTAATTTTTATAATTGCTAAATAACAAGTGTTTATAGTTTGTAAAACAAACACAAATAATTTTACTTAATCTGATAAAGGAAATAATTTAATGATGTATTTTGTCTAATGACTTTTGAAAATGAACTGATTATTGAACAAATCCAACAGGAATCATGCCACCTGGTTTTCCTGGATTTGGAATTCCACCACCTGGTTTTCCACCAATGGCAGTAACACCAGTTTCAGTAACCTCGCCTATTGTAACATCAGCAGGAGCCACAGTAACAAATAATGAAACGGAAATTTCACCTTTAGCAGGGGCTGAACAAGGTTCAATTCCATCAGAATCTGGGATAGTTGAGCCAGACCTCAAGACCAAAGCAGCAGAGTGGACAGAACACAAGACTACTGATGGCAGATCTTACTATTACAACTCCCGCACAATGCAATCCACGTGGGATAAACCACAAGTATTATTGGACCTGGATGGTATATAATTTTTTTAATTATTTTCTTAGTGTGACAGTATCTGTGATAGAAAGGTTTATTACTTATCAGTAGGGGCTAAGTGAAACTAGCAAGAAATGACATTTAACTATGGTTCTAAAAAGTTAAGGGCCAGGCAATGCTTTATTGTTAGTTTGTTGAGCTGCTAATGGAAGGATTCAAGGTTTGAAATGTGATGCCAATGAATATGCTCAGTTGTGGAGCATTAAAAAGTGACAGTCAGTTTCGTTATTCAGTTCAAAAAGCTAGAGAGATCCTTTGTGATAGCAGGTGTTTGCTGGTTGGATTACTTCCATTTAATTAGTAATTGAAAATTAAGGGTTGTTATACCTGAATTCTAAAGGTCTCTGATCTGGCCATTTAGCTTGCATGTACATAAAATGCAATTCATGTTGAAAATTCCAATTGTGTAGAAAGCTAATTTTTATTCTCTGTTCTTAACCTCTTCTGTATCAGGTTCCTTTTTTTTTTTTGGAAATGAAATAAAAAAAGGTTTATTTTGCTTTTTGATAGCCTATTGTAATACATGATAACATGCATATAAGTTTGAGCAAATAATTTAAAATGTGGTGAGAATTGGTTTGCTGAAATTAACTTGGGCAAATATGTTTTTGAAAAGTGGGGCACTCAAGTTATCTCGGGCAATTCGTGGAAGGGGTTAAAAATGGATGGTTAGCTGGGAAAAATAAAATTATAAGATTTGACTTTAAGGAGGTTTAAGATTTGTTAACTTGAAAAAAGTGTTTAAATACTTTTCAGTTCCTTTTTCTGTATTTCATTCTTCTGCCACATTGTGTCTTTGTTCCTGTAATACATGTTTTAATGTTATTAGTACCACAGTATATAAAAGAATGATCTAATATTTAGTTTCAGAGTAGTAAACATGATGATAAACTCCCTGTAGCTATCCTTATTGTACTGCACTTACAAATGTATGGTAATCAGTAAATTGTGGAAAGAGAAGGTCACTAAGTGTGGTCGTATGAAAGTTTGGTATTTTATGTTTTATTAACATCTGACTTAAAACTATCAGCATTTCTCTACTTAAGTATGGGAAATACTGTAAGCACAAGAAAAAATTAATACACTTGCAACTAATAAATGCTTTATAAATTACAAAATGAAAATGAGTTTGAAAGGAATATACTTGTAACTTGCATATGTGTAAAAACCTGTGTTCAAGAAACTAATGTGTGTATATATTATCCAAGAGATTGAAACTTCTAACTAGTTTGAAAATCAGTAAGATAGCTAATGCAAAAATATTGAATAAAAATAGTATCATCACACACACATGATGAAAAAGTATTTTTATATTTTGTAAAATTTAGTACAAAATCTGGTGATCATATTAAAGAAATACATTCATGGTTTCTGCATTTACATAGGTTTGTACTACTAATGTTGTTGGCTTAACCTGAATCACATTATAATACTATCAGTAGTTATTTTATAAAAACATTAATTTTAATCTAATGATTAGTCCTTCAAACTATGCTACATGTAACTAACCTATAGTAGATGTTACGGGTATTGTTTATTATTACAACCAAATTTTCTTCCAATTTTTTAAATTCTTATTAAAATGGTTAACTTGCTTCTATTCATAAATTATTTGTGCTGGTGAAAATAGTGATTATTTGCTAAATAATTAATGGTTAACCTTCAGATAGACATGTTTTATAACATCAAAATCCTTTTTTTTTAATCTTTTGATGTTGCAAACAAATAGCATTTGTTTAACCCTCTTACAAAGTACTCGGTTGATTACACTGACTTTGTAGCTCCAAAGTAACCATCAGAGCGAAGTAACTTGTCTTGGCTGTGTTTTAGTAGACTGGTATTTTGTAAAATACAGTCACATTTTAATTATTATACATTATATATATATATGTATATAGATTATTGCTATTTTGAAATAAGTTCTTAAACATATTTTCCCCAAAACATAGAACAGTAAATAAAGAAGTAAATCAAACACTTATCTCCTCTAATTACAACTTTTGTACTAGGTTGCTGCTTGACGTAGGTTGCTAAGCCTTTAAAAATTTTGCACATGGAGGATATGAAACAAAATATTTTTTTTTTAGGTTTTATATATATATATACATTTGAATAACTAAAAAATCATAAAATACTATATTAGTACCATAGAACTCCAATATAATTTATCAAGCTTAGTAACTAAGATGTATTTTACTCTTAAAAAGTGTGAAATTTCGAGCAGACTAAAGACACACCATACCTCGTTGAAATATTGGTGCAAAAGAAAGAAATGGTGCCAAGTCCGTTAAAATGCCTGAAAAAGCCACTAGAGAGACATTCTGAGCTTCTGATTCGTTATTCATGTTATGTATAGAAGTAAGTGTATGTAAGGGAGTGTTTCCAAAAATGGAAAGAGATGGTCAGGGTGCCACTGTGTTTGATTTATTACATGAGCAATATCTTAGCAAATTGAAAAGATAAGAGGCTCTTATTTTATATTCTGGCTTTTCAATAATATTAATTTGAGTTTCTAGTTCGTTCAAAACTATAGACTTGGTATTTTGACTTCACAAATATCTAATTTGAACCAGTGCTGCATTCGACATACTACATGACACAAAAAATGGATGTTTATCTGTGTTTTTAATATTTGCTTTTAAATTAAGAAATTGAGTAATATATAGTACTAAAATTTGAATTATAATCTACAGTTTGATACCAAACTTATTAACATAAAATCATGAAATGGTAGTTCAATAAAATTTTGAATGCAAGTCAACAAACAAGATGACATGGCATTTCACCTGTGACCCGTCTCGAAAGGGTTAAGAAGCTAGAATAGAACCTCCTACCTTTTCTATTTACTGAGATATTATATTTAGCAAATCCACCATGGAGACTCTGCCCACTTCTTTCTGTTTTGGAAATACTTGTTTATCTACACCCACTTCTCTCAATTACATGGTAATAACCAATAAAAAGCACTCATTTTGAACTTGGAAATTCTGCCAATCATGCTAAAGTATATACATCAGTAAAGCCATCATTTCCATTGCAAGTTTGAAGAGTGGTGGGTGTGGTTAAGTAAATATGGTGATTGGAAATGATGATATTTTTTAGACCCAGTTAGCTTAGTTAGCAAGATTGATAAATTACAATGGAATTTTATGGCATCGCTGTAGTAATTTATAATTTCTTATTATTTAAAAATGCATATATAAAACCTACAAAAATTATTCTTTTACATCCTCCGTGTGCAAAATTTGATGAGGCTTAGCAAGTATGACGTGCGAATACAAAGAAACTTCGTAACATCATAAGTAGTAGAGATCATTGTTTTTGATATATTTTTTATTTCCTGTCTATATTTTAAGAAAAAAATAACTGAAAGTTAATAATATAGTTTTAAATAGCAATATATATATATACCTCTAATTCACAACAACAAAAACTTTCTTCAAACAGATGGTCTATACATGGACAACCCAGTTTCACATGTTCTCACCAACATATTTATGATTGGGATTGAAACACAAGCCACACAATCTGCACTTTATCCTCTCCTGCGCTGGTACAGATATTTCGATGACACTTTTGCCAGTTTCACTTCTATGGAACACATAAACTCCATTCACCTTAACATTAAATTTACCACTGCACACAAAAATAACAAGTAATTGTCTTTTCATAACCAGGACATTATCAGATCTGACACACATTTCAAAACAAAAATTCACCAAAAAATCACACACACACGCCTCTACATCCCCTGGAATTCCACCCGTGAATCCAAACCAAAAATTAATGTAATAAAAAGTCTTATACACACAGCTTCAAGACTTTGTTCAACTGAGGACATAGATAATGAAATCAACTCTATAAAGCATTCCTTCATTCACACCAACAAAAATCTACTCAATTTTATTCTGGTGGTTGTGTGGAAATGTTTCGACCAAACAGAAACAACATTACACTGCAGTTTACCATTTATCACTGACATCAGCTCAGAAATAATCAACACTTGAGAAAACTTGCCATCAAACATAAAATTTCTGTTGATGTCAAATTCACCCAAACACCTGGCACTAAATTAAAATCATTACTAAATAAAAATTACGTAGAGTCACACAACTCAAACGTCATTTATAAAACAACTGTCCAAAATTTTACATTGGAGAAACAGGTGGAAAATTGGAAACCAGATTCACTGAACATAATAAAAAAAACTCCCATGTTTACCACTATTGCATATCAAAAAACCACAGTATATAAATTCAAAACACTGCAATTTTAACATAGAACTTAATATCAATAAATGTTAAATAAAAGAAGCTATCTTAACTGAAAAAAAACAGTCCCATCCTAAATCAATACCCTGGGGTACCAAAATACCTATATTACAGTGTGAAGCAATATCCTATCATTTAATTTCTTTGTTCTATACTGCATATATATATACTCATGTTCTCTGTAAAATACTTGTACCTGACAATGACAAAATCTTGTCGTAATATCATACAGCTATAATAAGGTTTTTTCATTACCCAGTCAAGCCATCTCAAATCTTTTATTTTCTTGGGTTCCTTGTTATCAGCCTCTAATATATGGTAACTGAAATGTGATTGTATTTTACAAAATAATGGTGCATTAGTACTTAGACATTTGTACTTTGTAAAAGCCAGTTGTATGCTATTCAATACTGTAACATGAGCTGCATGTGCTCTGCATGATTTACAATGTGCATGGCAGGATTATCAGTCAGACACGCTACAAAGGTCAATAAAACAAAAATTCAATTGTATAATGTTACAAGATTTAAGCTATTTAGAACAAATATTTGTGTTTTCCTATTACAATTTGCCATATTCTAGGGTAATTTAGGTTTATTTCTTAATTTTATATGGTGGTTATGAAGTCAGTCAAATGTACCAATCCCATATAGAGTTCAGGTAGAGAAAATAACAGATGAAATATGAAGTTTCTCTAAAAGAACATTTGATAGTTATTTAGGAGGTTATACAGATTATGCAAATCAAATTTGACAATTTTCAGATGAAGAAAAGTAATTTTAATCTTAAAATCAAAATTACTTTGCATATTGGATTGTCAACTTTTTAAAGAAATGTTTCATTAGCAAACATTTTACTTAAAAAATCTTAATACTTAATTAAAAGCCTGTTATTTTGTGTATGAAAGCCTTGTAACATTTGTTGGTAACGTGCAAAATTTCATGATGATGTGCATACATTATCGAAAACTATAATATACCTACTGTCATTGTTAATTTGGTGGTTATGGGCTGGGTGCAATGCACCCAGAACTGTAGTCAAAGAGTTAATGAAATGGCCAGTTTTTGTATAAACTGGTTTGTAATGTTGATAATTAGAACAAGAGTTAAAATGAAAAAATTTGGCAAAAGTTAAATGTTTACTGATCATCCTAGAAGTAAATAATGTGAATACTTGGTGTCCCAAAATCACGTATTATATATCAGAGAGCACATAGATCTCTCTGGCTTTTTGGGACAGCATAGGACCCCAGATCTTGGCATTTATGGGCTGGGACTCAGGACCAACAAAAAGTTTTCTGTGTTCTAATCCCTGCAAATGAAAGTGGAATATGTTTTGAGAATCTCAAATTGTGAAATTCTTTAAAATATGTGAATTACTCTTTATTCAGGAAAAATGTGTAAAAAAAATAATGTTTTGTTAGAAATGATATTATTAATGGGAAAGAAGTGTGTTTAATAACATATTAAGGTCCTAAAACACACAAGTATACCTCTTGTGCTAATGATAAAGCCTAACACTGTAGAATCATAATAGTTGTGTGAACCATTAACCTTTGAGAAAGATCATTAAACGTACCAAGTTAATGGTCTGGCTGGTCAACAGCTTAAAAGATAATTTCAGATCTTGCACTGCAGTTGGCATTTCCATGTTGCTGATATTATACACTAATGTTTGCAAGAATCACACACACACACACACCTATCTGAAAGCATGTGATAATTATGTACTTTCCTATTATGATAAGTGTTCTTTTTATTGGTTTTTAAATGTTTTTTTACTGGGTTTTTTCCAAACATTTGCTCTTTGAAGAAGCATTTTGTGGAATCTTTTAATAAAAACTTTTCCAATTTATTATGTATGTATTTCCACAATTCATATATTCATCTGTAAGGTTTGTTGTAAAAACTTTGAAATTAGTTTGGTCTGTGGCTATTTCACAAAGCCTTTTAAAAACTTTATTTGGTTTTACATCATAGTGATTGTTTCAATGAAAGAATACAACCTTATATATAATTTGTGTACTTGTTATTGTATCATAATTGCCAGATTGTTTCGCACCTTGCATCTAAGATGAACATGCTGAGGGAGGAATCCAACAATGTTTTTGTTATATTTACATTTTGAATGCTTGGCAAAGAAAATATTTTAACAAATTATGTCTTCATACCACAGAGGCCATAGCAGCAGAAAAAACTAATCAAGTCCAACAATTGGAAGAAGTTGTTGAAAATGGCAGTAAAGAACCAGAAGACAATGAAAGTATGGAAATACAAGACAGTGCAGCCGATGAAAAGGTGCAAAGCATTATTTCTTTATAAATCTATAAATTCATTTTTACAATGAAGATTTGTTTTATTAGAAGTACAAAAAAACATAAATTGACATTGGCTGTACTTCATTTTTTTGAATTTATTGTGTATTGCATCCTTTGCATGTTCTCACTGCTCAGATACATTTATAATGGAGAAATTATTGTTGAAGTGTATCTTTTTTTCCACATTTCAGATGCATATTTCATTGAATGTTTTGTTTGTAATAAATAAACAATAGATTGAGGTATGAAATATTTATACTTGTTGTTTTTCATATGTTTGAATCCTAATTTTGCATTTAGTTCTGAAATCAAATTAAATTTTTAAATTTACCCACTCTCAATTAATATATAGGGGTTTTATGTTTTGATAGTGAGCATTTAAGACTAGGAAACATTGATTTTACTAATACTCAAGAGATATAGGCCTTGAGGAGTTTAATTATAGTGTAATTGCTAAAGACTAAAGTTGTCACTGTGGTAATAATCACCTCTGTTTAAAAACTATTTCTGCTTCTTTGCCATTGAGCTTCATTTTCTTAATCAGGAAAATTCCTAATAATAGTGACTTCTGTTTAGAAGTTAATGCAGTAATATACATATTAATCAGTTTAAGATTGATGGTTTTGTTATAATGAAATTTGTATTTCTAAATATGAAGAATTAGTTTTGGTGGTGAGTTACTAATGGTATCTAATAACAACACAAAACAATGTATATGATACCTTTTGAAAGCAGTTTATTTTTTTACTTTAACCATTCTTATTATTTCTCATTTTTAAAACACGTAAACTTAAGAGGAAATATTCGTTAAAGCCCTATGAATCACACTTTGCAATGATTTGCAGGAGCAAGAAGAATTCAATCTTCAAGATAAAGAAAAAACTGAGGAAAAGAAAGAAGAAGAGCAACAGAAACAGCAGGACAAATCTCGTCCTGTTTCTAGTACTCCTGTACCAGGAACTCCTTGGTAAGGTCCTTTGGACTGAGGCTTTTGATAAATATTCTTGCATATGATTCTCACCTCCCATGGTTATAAAACTAACAATTCATTTGTAATTATTTTATATGGTATTGTTATACTTTATAGGTTATTTAAAAATCCAATTCTTCTTTCAGGTGTGTTGTGTGGACTGGTGATGGACGAGTTTTTTTCTTTAATCCAAGTACTCGCATGTCTGTTTGGGAAAAACCAGATGAGCTCAAAGGACGGGAAGATGTAGAAAAACTGGTTCAAGCCCCACCTAAGCAACCTGATTCCATAAAAGGTAAATACATGAACATAACCAAATTAAGCATGACATAATTGATTATCAGTATCATGGGAAACCTTTTATTGCTACAAGTATCTCTCCACTAAGTAATATGACTGCAGTAATCATAGTGTGCTGGAAAGTATTTGTGTATTAAATTTGAATACTAGCATTTAAAAAACAAATTAAAATAGATTATTATTTTTCATTTTTTGTTGTTGTTTCACATGAAAGTTGTATATGTGAAGGTGCATTTTTCTTTAATTTCAGTTAACAGTGTGGAATCTTCAGATGATAGTGAACCAGCTGCAAAAAAGAAAAAGTAAGTGTTGTATGCTATACTAAAAACATGTTCCTTCAGTATTTTGGGCATTATGAGTTTATGTTTATCAAATGTCATGAAGATATAAGAGTGACTCATGAAAGTTGTAAGAGCATCACAGTAGAATGTAGAGTGAAAAGAGTAATTAAAAAAAAATGATTTCAGACCTTTGGTTTGTTGGCTGGAACTACAAGGCAATTAAAGAGAGTTGAAACACCACTTTCAGTATGTTATAAAAAATTTTATTATATTAAGTTATATAGGGTTGAATTTACTGCGTGTCATAAGAAATTACAACTGACATCTTACATTTTAACTCTTTTTTTCATATGAGTACCCTTTTCTGAGGATGTCGTGAGATTTTACCGATACATTTAAAATGTAATTAAAGTTTTTTAATATCATGGTATCAAATAAACTTGGCATCAAAACTTAGCTAAAAAAATCAAATTTTAGTATTAAATATTTTAAAAATGCTTAATCTCCCTTAGTTTGAGAATTGTGACATTTGCTCTACAAGTCTTCCCTCTTCTCTAATTTATTTACCACCTTTATGGGAAGTACAAACTTTGCATAAATTACTCATTATAATATAGTATTACTCAGGCAAATCATATTTTTTATAGCCTTAAATCTTATTTGGTTACCAAGTCATAACCTGTCACATCCTCTCTTTCAAAGATTGTCAATAGTTCTCTCTGATGTTTAACACTACGTTACTTATAACCAGTAGAAAACCAAAGTTTTAATCTATCAAATGTAATATTGTATTACATTGTTTTTTGTGCAGGAAATTATCTGTTTTGCTTCCAATTCAAACTTTATTCCCAGGGGAAACACATTGATGGGCTTAGTTGAATGGCTCTTATCACATAGTTAGAAAGTCAGAGAAATTGTGATAGTTTTGGGACATTTTTTGTATGTAATTCTGTGTTCTTTGATGCTTTATTTAATTAAATAAAAAATAATTTAGTGCAGTAGTACCATTAGTTAAAAAGTAGGATTAAGTTTCATTGACATTCGACAGCAAAGAAAAGAAGACCCAGGTAAGTACTATATTTATTGTCTCATTTGTATTCTCTATTATTATAAAATTAATTAAAATGTAAAAATTAGATACTTTTTAGGTTAGATTAGATAAAATAATGAAGAATAATATTAAAACTTTTCCCAATGTACACCTGCAAGCAACTTATGAGTAGCCTGTGTGTTATGTAATTTGATAGGTTAATGTGAGTTGCATGTTTTCCAAGTGATTTACATTTTGTGTGGCAGGATTATTGGTTAGATACAGTTCAAAGGGCAATAAAATTTAAGTAAAAATAGATATGTACTTTTTTAAGTTCTGAGCTGTTTATGATAAACAAATGTAGTTTCATATTACAATATGGATTCATTCTAGAAAGAAAAAAAGGGTAATTTATATTTATTTCATATTTTTCTATGGTGGTTATGGGATTGTTCAAATTGACCAACCTCATACAGAATTATTTAGGGTAGAGAAAATAACAGATGAAATATAAAATTTTATTGAAAAAGGGTATTGAATTTACCCGGCAGACTTTAGGTACTACACAAATGGAATTTGACAATTTTCAGATGAAGGAAAGTATTTTTAACCTTAACATGAAAATCACATTGTGCTTGGAGCATTCAATACTTTGACTCCATATAGTCACGGAGAAAGTTCTAGTGAAAATACTTCATTAAAAATTCGGATTTGTGTGTGTGTGTATCTACAAAAGACAAGACTTAATGCTTACTGAAAGCCTGTGAAATTTCATAAACATATACAAAACATATTAGAAGTTATAATATGGAAACTAATAAAGGTCAATTTGGGGTCACAAGCTCGGCCGACTTGCCCGGCCCTATAGTGAGAGTGTTAAATGACTATTATCAATGTATTTCATTAAACTTGACATCAAAACGTAGTTTATAATTCAAAGTTTTATGTTATCTAATAAGTTTTGATTTCTTAGTTTCAAAAGGAAATAATTAAATTCTTAATCTTGACTTCTTTGTGTCATGCGACACATCTCCCCTCTGATTCTTTTTCTTCTTCTTCTTTTTTTATTTTTAGATTTTCTCCATTCCTTTCTAAGGCTGTCAAAGAGGCCAACCAATCAGAAATTCAATCTGTAAATATTCACAGGTTAAAATATTTAATGTAAACCTCCCACCTTCTTCAATTAGCAAGATATAAATAAGTTTTTGCACCCACCATTGAGGCTCCCTCTCATCTTGTCATAGCTTTGAATGAATTTAACTGTGTCACATGTTTTCCTTTTAAGACATGTTTATAACTAGTGGAAAAGAGTTTTGCCCCTACAAGAATCTATTAATGGTCATTTCGATTTAACATGTAGTTGTAGACAACCTCAGACTGTATGTGTGATTATTAATGTTGAGCTGTAAGTGGTAACATAATATTTTGAACCTACTTTTATCATAGTTAGAAAGCTAATTCAGTTATATAGTTTTAGGACATTGGTTTTTGTGCATAATAGTGTTTTGTATTCTAAATTGCATATTTGAAATAAACATTAAAATATTTTGGACCACCAAAATCATTATAAAAAGGAAACTTACAGTCCTTTGTCAGTTGTTTTTTTTAATGTATATTTTTAAAAAAGCATTTCTAATGACGTGTAAATCACCATTAACTCAGTAAAGGCTTTGAAAATTCACAGACAAATCTTTACTAAAATACTTTATTAAAGAATTAGGTATTTTGTGTACAACAGATTAAAGCCTGTCATATTTCATGAAGATACACTCAGTACATTCAGAATTAAATCACCATTAACTCTGAAAGGCTTTAAAAATTCACAGACAAATATTTACTAAAAGAATTGGGTATTTTGTGTACAACAGAATAAAGCCTGTCATATTTCATAAGGATACACTCAGTACATTCATTTATAGTATGTATAGTTTCATCCTTATATGGTGGTTAAAAGATTGGTCAGAATGACTGCTCCTGAACCATTTGATATAACATTAGTCATTGGAGTTATTGTGTTGTTTATCTTCTGTTTTTGATCGTTCATGGTAAAATGGAATCTATTTTTCTTCCACATGTTACATGAGCCACCTTCTTGTGTTGAGCACATACCTGCATATCACATTTCAAAATTTAAGTAAAAATAATAGTTCTAAGTCTATTATAACAATTTTAAATGTTTTAGAATTGATACTATTTCACATTGTAATATGTATTTAGTTTAATTTGCATAGAAAAATAAAATTTCAACTTTCATTTCTGTACAGCCTCAAGGATTTTTATCTAAACAATTTGAGGTTTTATATTTTTAGAATTTTTCTACTCATCCTAAAATATAGGTTTGTATTTGCTAAGAAACCCATTCCTTGAGAATATAATTTTTCATGTCTTGTTTCTCATGTGACTTTACTTTTCCCTGTATTACTACAACCCCTTTAGTGCCACTCCTTTTATGATTTCATAGCATGTGGTCTGAAAATTACTAATGAAACTGAAACTAGATATAGTCAACATTAAAGTATGATTGTATAGAGCAAATTATAAGCTACTTATGTTATAATAAATTGGTTTGAATAGTAGTATTTTGGGGTTTCTCAAAATGTTGAATACCCAGAACTCCTGTATTTGTGAACAGAGGATTCTAATGGGGAGTTCAGAAGACTTGAAAAAAAAGTTTTGGAATTTGTTTATAGTTTCTATAGGCATAATTTTTGTTTGTGAAAATATTTTAGTGTTAAATCTGAATGAAAGCTACTCTCTGTGATAAAAGAAATATTCTGGATAATGAAATCTTTATCTATTGAATATTATTCTTAAGTTTATTATACTTAAACAATGCACACAAATAAAATAACATATTTATTGAATATAAACTATAATTTTTGGATACAAATCTATTTTAACCAAGAATATTGTTAGTAAAAAGTCACGATACCCAACCTGACAAAGGTAATTGTGATGCCATTTTGAAAGGTGAGGTTCCAAATCATTGATAAATCTTTTTCCAGTTTTTGTTGTGTATTCTTTAAGACGATAGCCAGAAGTGGTAACAACTGCAATCAAAAAGTAAAGTATCAAAAGAAATGTGTTAATGAGTATCAATCAACTTGAAACTGACTGGATATATAAAATGTACTTTCTCATCAACAATAAAAATAAAAAAATTCTAAGACAGAAGGAATTGTTTTCCTTGTTGTTTTCAAAACAGTACCTCACAACAAAATTTTGGAAATTTCACAACCTAAGAACTAAGAACATGGTTGAAATACAAAATCAAAATATATTAACTTTTAAAACCAAAACTAGATACCATCTAACATGTTTGTACTAAGTTTCATGCAGTTTTATTAGGTGATAAAACCACGTAAACTATAAATGTTGTTTTTCCACATCTTTCTTAATATGTGCACTTCAGATTCAAAATCAGAGGCATGTAAAAATAGCACTATGATGAAATAGTACATATTTATGGTACAAAAAACAAGCCTTAACTAAAACAGCCTCCAGGGTACAGGCTGTAATGTGGGATGTAAGAGATTCCTTGTTTTTGGAGGTGACTGTGGAAGAAGGACCCATATAGTAATGGAAATACACTGTATATCAGTTTTAACCTCCATTCTCAGAGCCTTGCATGTAAAAAAAAATATATCATAAAAGTGTAAAATAAGAAAAAATAAAACAAGATAAGAGAGAAAAATCATGGTTGCTCGATCCTACAATGTCCCATATCTATATCACCATTCACTGCCTGTAGGAAAATGACTGCTCTCAGAAGAAAAGAAGTGCAAAATATATAGGATAAAGAAAAGGTCCTACCATTAGGAGTGGTGAGTAAAAAAACCTAACTTCCTGAAATTGGTATTCCAGCCCCCATTATGGTAGTAAAATCTCAAATTAATAAGGTAATATTAGTAGCAAAGCAGACAAATTATACTAGAATAAAATCTCTACAGGGTTGTTTGAACCATCCTCCACCTGTAAAATATACTGGTTCTGAATTCATTTAAAAAAAATGGATTGTAATCTTTTTGTATTACTTGAAAAAAAATTTACCTCCAAAAATGTAAATAACGTACTGAGTTTCTGTATTTATAATTATTATATATTTTTTCACAAATCTATAAAGTAAATGACATTCTTCCTTAGTAAACCTTAACCTTCCAGAAGTTATAAATATGAACTTATGATTAGACCACTTTTATATAATTACTAGCTTATAGGCCATTAAATATGATGGGGCAAGTACAACCACTCATAGTATACCCTAACCTCACATTTCATAGTTAACTGAAATCAATAAATTTTGTGAAATCAAGCTTGACCAACAAAGAGGCAGAAAAGTGCAGTCAGATGTCAGTAAATTCCTTTGTGAACCGATCAAAATTAACAACATTCAGGAAATTAATTCATGGCATATTCATAGAATCATTATGAGTTAAAATCAGTTAATTAACTTCTAATATATAGAAAAGCCAGTGCATTTTGGTAACACTACATTCCAACAATGGCTTTTATGTCATTGCTTAGCAACAGAAATGTAACCTAATATTGTTGTTAGTCTATGTACTCAAAGTATAAAATGAAATGTATAGACAATGAAACTGGAAAAATATTTTTTGATTTATTAATTTAGGGTCTCCATTCATTAAAGAGGTTTGTTTTTACTGAAAACGTTGGTGATATAACAGGATATAGCTTAATTCAGAAACAATTTAAGTTTAAAATTGAATTGATATTTTTATTTTCATGATAAATTTTATGTGCTTGGATCTAGGCTAGGTGTTCCCTTACTACGTCTTTAAACTTATTATTCTAACACTCACTACACTTATAAGGTTTTTTCTGTACCCCATCACTAAAATCGTAATGGTCAGACAGTAATTGAACAAATCTATTTGGATATGTGTATTTTAACTATTATGACTCCTACCATTTCTCATCAAGCGTGACATGATACACACTGACTTTTATATACATTTCTTAAATAATTTGAATGTAGATTAATTAAATACTTTACCATATAGTATATTTATTGATACTATTCATAAACATATCATTACTTGTATCTTAGAAATTGCAAAAGATAAACTATTGTGTGAAATTCTTAAAAAAAGAATCCAGCAACAGAATTGCTACACAGTTTGATAATGAAGATATTCTAAAATTAATTGCAAACAATATTAACAAGTATGTTTTGAAAATTATATTACATCTAATTCAGTCTTGAGAATGGAGGTTTTATGTGCCTATTATAGTAATATTTAAAGTTTTCCAATGTAAAAATACTTGCAATACATATAATGATTTTTCATTTATAAAATATGATCCAACAGCTGAAAGAAAAAATTTCATTGTTCTCATTGAGAAAGCTAGGTTTATTTCCAAGACATTTTATGCACAACTTATGATTAATGAAATTTGAATTTCATTAAAACATAGAAAAAACTATTCCAAATCAAGTTTTTTAATCTACCTTTCCTGTATGCTATACCAAAATTGCATAAATCTATAAAATTTAGCTTTATTTCCAGCTCAATGAAAACAAACAACCAGCAAATTTTGTTAAATAATTTATTATATTTGACTGAATTAGAATATAAATAGCAGTAATAATAAACATATATTTTGGATAAAAAAAACAAACCCATTTTAGAATATTTAAATAATTGTGGGCAAGGTAAGACATTTGATTTCACTACTTCATATACAACAGTTTAATTTTATTTATGAATTCGTTAAGAGAACAGTATTGTAATCTTTCTATGTTGCTTCAAGACAGAAATTTTACCTCCAAAAATATAAAAGATATACTAAGGTTGTGTATTTATGATAATTATATTTTATTCAGTAATCGAGTATTTGAACAAGTAATAGAAATTCCAATGGTAGCTAACTATTTGGCCCGGCATGGCCAAATGGATAGGGAGTTTGACTCGCTATCTGCGGGTCACTGGTTCGAATCCCTGTTTTACCAAACATGCTCGCCCTTTCAGCCATGTGGGCATTATAATGTGATGGTCAATCCCACTATTCGTTGGTAAAAAAGTTGCCCAAGAGTTGGCAGTGGGTGGTAATGACTAGCTACCTTTCTTCTAGTCTTACCCTGGTAAATTAGGGACAACTAGCACAGATAGTCCTTGTGTAGTTTTGCATTAAATTTAAAACAAACAAACAAGCTAACTATTCTACTTATATAGCTAATTTATATATTTTAAGTTTTTAAAACGGTATAAATCTGGATGTTTTTGCTTTAACTTGTATTGATGACTTAATAAGTATAAATAATCCTGAAACAATTTCATTAACACTTATTTACCCAGTAAATTGAAAAATTGTTAATACTTCAATTTCTGCATAAGAGGCACATTATATTGATCTGGAAGTTAAAATACCTAATAATGATATTAATTTAAATATATTTGATAAAAGATAATTTTTCTTTTTCAGCATATGACCTACTCTCTCCTAACAGTAATGTTTCATATCTTGTGTTGCAAGTTTTATAAATTCACAACTACTCAGATTCTGTAGAATTTGTAACAAGTGACAGTAATTTACTGTTAATGTCAAAATATTGATACAAAAGATAATTAATGAATTTGATAAACATTAAGTAAATTTATTGAAATGTAACAAACATGAAAATAAACTACATAAATATCAACAACTAAGAGTTACATATATGCTTAAAATTTTTAATTTACAATTTTTTTTAATAAGCATATATTGACAGTTAATATGCATGAATATACAGGTATATTCTTATAAAAGGTAGAGGAAAGTCTGAAAATTAGTAGTTATAGTATATTTTATGAGTGGAGGATAGGTGTCATACTGGTTCAGACAACTCTGTAGGGATTTTATTTTAGTATAAGTTGTCTGCTTTGCTTATAATATTACCTTATTAATTTCAGCTTTTACTACCATACTGTGTGGGGGGGGGGGGGCTGGAATGCTAATTTTAGGAAGTAAGGTTTTTTTTACTCACCACCCCTAACGATAGGACTTTTTCCTATTTATTTTTCACTTTATTTCTGAGAGCAGTCACTTTCCCACAACTGTATGCAGGCAGTGAAGGGTGATGTAGATGTGGAACATTGTGAACTTGAGCACCCACAGCTTGCCCTCTTACTTTCTTTTACTCTTTTGTTATTGTTATAATTAGTATTTTTTTGCGTGTTAGACAGTAAATGGAGGTTACGACTAACAGACAGTGCATTTCTACCTCTATATGGGTCTTACTTTTGCACTCACCTCCTCTAAAATCCACATTATAGCCTGTCCTTGGAGACATTGTTTTGTTGTGCAGCATCTTGATTAAGGCTTGCTCTGTAATATATACAGTATAATCCTTTTTCAGTGCTTAAAGCTGGTAAAGAATTAAAAACTAATAGTCCTAAAATTAGTGGCAGAAATCAAGTAAACTGCAAAGTTTTCACATTCTTCGTATTTCAATTTCAGATTCAAAATCAGAAGCATGTAAAAATAGCAAATTTGGATCTTAACTAAATTTGGTTAAATATTTTCACTGTGAAAAGGAAAAAAAATTGGTAGAGACCAGTAACACTACTACATTCTGAAAAGATGATAAAGTGACCAGTCAGGATGGCCCTTCAGCATGATTAGTTTTATAACTTGATTAATCATATTAGGAAAGTTTCCAAAATTTGTAAAACAATTCTTATGAATTGTCTGTTTCAATGAAAGTTCATTAAATTGCCAAAAATGCATGTGCACTAACAATTTTGTAATTGAAAAATTTTAAATCATCAGTTCTACTAATTTGAAAGATCTGTTAATGAGACAGTGTGCCTTGTAATTGTTACATGTAATCTGATTTTATTTGAAATATGAAGGACTGTTAATGAAAGTTTTAATGTTGTTGGGTGTGAAAATGTCTTTTGGAATTAACATGATGGTGTTTTATTTGATGTTTACGTGACATTTGTAAGAAAAGATTTTTTAGATATATATAATACTACTTTTTTTTTCAGAGTGGAAACTGATGTGACTGAGACAACTGTGACACAGAGTCAGGAAAGTAAGGTTACTGAGGACCAGAATAACAAAAAAACAGGTAGAATTGACATTGGGAAAGAGGCTGCTATTGAAGCAGAACTTAAGGCTGCTAAAGAAAGAGCAGCTGTTCCTCTGGAGATCAGGATGAAACAGTTTCGTGATATGCTTGCAGAGAAGGAGGTAAACCAGGCAGTTCAAAATGTGCATGTCACGACCTTTTAAAGAGTTACATTCAAAATTTAATTAAACTACTTTATTATCAATGCATACAAATAAACTTGGCATAAAAACGTAGTTAATGAATGAAATTTTAATATTATATAAGCTGTAATTCCTAATTTTATAAGAAAATATGTTTAAAAATCCTCTATCTCATCCTAGTATGATAATTGTGACATTTGCTCTCTGGGTATCCTATCTGAGAAGTACAGAATTTAATATAAATTACTCATTACATCATTTTTATCACTCAGACAAAAGCAAAATTTTTATAGCCTTCAATTGTATTTGGTTATAAAGCCATAAAATAGTAAATCAGACCCTTCTTGCTATCCCACCTGTCATATCTATTTCACAAATTGCCAGTAGTTCCCTCTGTCATTTAATATTATATTATTTATTACCAATAGAAAGCCATGGTTTTAATATGTCAAATGCAGTATTATAGTTTGTTGTTTTATGTATTGAGAATTGTCTATGTTGCTTCCAGTTCAAATTGTATCCCCACTGGAGACACATCAATGAGCTTATAATTTTTAATGGCTCTTGTCACTTAGTTAGAAAGCCAGAAAAATTGTGATAGTTATGGGACGTTTTCTGCTTTTTATGAGTTATTATTCTGTGTTCATAGGTACATTATTTAATTAAATAAAAAATAATTATTTAGTGTGGTAGTACTATTAGTATAAAAATGTAGGGTAAGGTTTCATTGACAGCAAAAAAAAAAAAGATCCAGGTAAGTATCATATTTCTTGTTTTTCATATGTATTCTTTATTATCATAAAAGTAACTTTAAATTTAAAACTTTGTATGTCAGATTAGGTAAAAACGAAGAAAAACGTTTGCCAAGTGATTTATGAATTGTGTGGTAGGATTATTAGTAAACATGATTCAAATGGCAATAAAACAATAAAATATAAGTAGAAGCAGATGTATGCTGTTATGAGATTTAAACCATTTAGGATTAACAAATATAGATTCATATTACAATTTGAAGTAAAAAAAATGGTAATCAGATTTATTTTGTATTTTTATATGGTGGCTGTGAGGTCAGCCATATTGACCAACCTTGTAAAGAGTTAGAGTAGGGAAAATAACAGATAAAATATAAAGTTTTGCTGGAAAAAAAACGTTTGAAATTCATTTAGGAGGTTTTAGAGGTTACACAAATGAATTTAGACAATTTTCAGATGAAGAAAAACATGAAAATCACTTTGCTCTCATAGCAGTCAACACTTTGACTCCATACATACACAGAGAAATTTGTAGTGAAAATACTTCATCAAAAATTATGATTTTTTATTTAAAAAAGACAAAACTCTTAACCCTATTGCTATGGGGTTTTCTATGGTCAGGGGGGAAAGGGCACGTCATGACGTTTGTAGACTTACATTTAAAATTTTATTGAACTATTATTTTATGAATGTATGTTAATAAGTTTGGTATCAAATTGTAGATTATAATTCAAATTTTAGTATTATACATTAGATAATTTCTTAATTTAAAGGTAAATATTTTTTAAAATCCTGAATATAGATTTTTGTATGTCATGTGGTATGTTTAATGCAGCTTTGGTTCAAATTAGGTGTTTGCGATGTCCAAATACAGTCTATAGTTTTTTACAAATTACAAGCTTAAGTTATCAATATTGACAAGCTAGAATAGAAAATAAGATCCTCCTATCTTTTCTATTTGCTGCGATATCATTATATTTAGTGAACCAACCAAGGTAGCCCCCATCAATCGCTTCCATTTTTGGAAATACTTGCTTATGTATACCTACTTCGCTCTATGGCAAATGTATAACCAATTGAAAACCCAGAATGTTTTCCATGTAGTTTTCTCAGCTTTTGCAGTGTATACATGGGAAAATCTTCCTTTTCATGGTAGAATTGAAGTAGAGAGGTAAGAGATAATGGAGCTCAAAATCAGTTTTCTAGACCCAAATACAGCTTAGTTACTAAGCCTGATAAATTATAGTGCAATTCTGTGGTATTGATAAAGTAATTTATGATTTTTATTTCAAAATGCCTATATAAAACCTAAAAAAATATTTTGTTTCACATTCTCCACGTGAAAACTTGACAAGGCTTAGCAAATTACTGCAAATGAGTACAAACTTTACATGTAGTAGAGATCATTGTTTTCTGTATTTCTTTATTTACTATTCTATATTTTAAGAAAAATAATTGAATTTAAGAACTTATTTGTAAATAGTAATAATATATATACATGCGTACTGTATTATAACTGAAATGTGACTGTATTTTACAAAATACTGGTCTACTAGAACAAAGCCAAGACAGATCACTTTGTAAAGGCCAGTTTTATACTATTTGATATGGAGTGCATGTGTGCCATGTCATTGCAATTTCTTCACATGTGAAATTTGACAATTTACTGATGCATAGAAGTATTTTTAAACTTAAAATCAAAATTACTTTGCATGTTGGATAGTCAACTTTCAAAAAGAAAAAAATGCACAAGCAACTCATTATTTAAAAATCTAAAAATTTGATATTTTATACGAAAACCTTGTAACGTTTACTTCTAATCTCCAAAATTTCATGAACATATGCATAATGTATTAAAAATTAAAGTGTGAAAACTATAACATGCACAAAATGGTCATGAGGTCTGTCCCTGAGACCAAGCTTGTAGTGAAAGAGTTAATGCTTACTGAAGGCTTGAGAAATTTCATGAAGATACACAGAAAGTATTAGATTTTATAGTATTAAAACTATATAGGTCAGTGTTGGGTCACGAACTTGGCTGGTTCAACAAAGCCCGTAGCAAGAGTGTTAAAGGGTATGCATATGGAAAGTTTTTTTCAATGAATAACCTGCTGTTTTTCTTTATCTTCATTAAAGCAGTAGATGTTTTTGTCAATCTTATGATTGAAACAGCTTATCAGTAACCTAAAAATAACTTATATCTTTTGTTGTTATTCAAATATTTCTGATGTATGGTAATTCTGCTCTAAAATATTATTTTTTAAAAGATTAGAGTACTGTTTTATATTATAAATATAAAAATAAATTTTACCAAACAGGTTTCAGCATTTTCCACATGGGAGAAGGAGCTACACAAGATTGTGTTTGACCCACGCTACTTGTTGCTGACTTCTAGGGAGAGAAAGCAGGTTTTTGAGAAGTATGTGAAAGAACGAGCGGAAGAGGAGCGAAGAGAGAAGAGGAACAAGATGAAAGAACGTAAAGATGATTTCCGTAAATTAATGGAGGAAGCAAACTTGACCAGCAAGTATGACCATTTTTCATGTTGTAATAAGGGAATTAGACATATACTTTTTTGTGTTACTCCTAAGTTTAATTTAAAGTAGAGTTCATACAGTAACCTTTGTAAGTTTTTCTTTCATGCTGTGGCATTATAGCTACTGTTGTTTTTTTTATATACAGATATTTCATTTCATATACACACTAACAATTGTAGCAATTATAATGTATTACAATGGTGTTTATGATTTGTAATGTATTTTAGGAGTGATGGTGTTGCTTTCCAATTAAAAGTGAATGAAATGTGTTATCTGTATAAGGGGAAAAGGATAGCAAAAACTAATGTTTTAAAGTAAAGTAATAAAATTTGCTTTTAATTGTTTACCAAATGTAAATTTTATATTTTAATCTCTGATTTTAAATTAACAATTAAAATTTTTTTATTATCAAACTTAGGTCAATGTTCAGTGACTTTGCACAGAAATATGGTAAGGATGAACGTTTCAAAAATATTGAAAAAATGCGAGATAGGGAGATCATGTTCAATGATTACCTACAGGACCTACGAAGGAAGGAGCGTGAGGAAAGATCCAGCCAGCGTGAAAAGGTAGAACTGTAACATATTTTCCTAGTAGAAGATTATTTCTTTTTACTTTTTTATAAATAAATTCAGCTTGCCCTCAAGCGATATCAGTTTTTTAAGATGACTTTCAAGACCTTTTTATTTTTGAAATCCTATACTTTCAGCAGTCTTTGATGTTAATGATCTAGACAATTAAATTGTAGTCCAATTATGTAAATTAAATGTTGTAATAAGTATATTTTAAAACCATGCTTTATTATATTATTAAAAACCATATATAGACATATCTTTATATGTCAAAAAAATTCAGCTTAAAACAGATATTTTTTCAACTTAAAACTTAAAAGTGGTTTTGAACCCATATTTTTAGTAAAATTATGATCCCATAGACTGGTCATTAAAATAAAGTGTGAAATCAGTCATTATCTGGTAAAGTGAATTTAGATACAAAATTATGAATTATTTGTTGTTGTTGTTTTTTGGGGGTCAAGTATCTTTGAAAATTATACTTTCATTGGCCAAATTATTGAGAATTACATTCAACATTCCATCATTTTTTACATCAATTTTTAAGTTTTAGAATTTCTGAGGTCAACCACTAGACAGTATGTTGAATACAGATCTGACTTTACATCTGGAATATCTTGTATCTCACCCCATATATTATTGTTGGTTTGGTATTTTCTAGTACTAACATCCATTTATGCTTAAAAGCTAGTGTTTCATTTCCATGAATACAAATAATAATAATAATACATCTTTTTGAATGTAACAGTTGAAATTGACTTGAGAATTCATTTAAAGCTTTCACTGCCATGGATACATATATGGTACACACCGTGTAGCCTTTGTTTTTGCCTTGAAAAGTGTAATATTAATTATATATGAGTTAGAAATTTTTTAACATTATCTAGAAAGGGTAATTATTTTCAAACTTCACAAAGTTTACCATTTTAAAGTTACATACAAGTAATGTCTTTTTTTGTATTGAACTAGGAGAGTTATTTTTTATAACGTGGAAGTTAAAGAGTTAATGTAAAAGGTTTTTAAACAAGATCTTGTGCCTGTAGATATAATTGACATCTTATTGAATATAAACATTCAGAATTCTATAGCAAATATTGTGAATGTGGTAATTTTTAATTAATTTAAATTGTATGTATTTAATGAAAAAAAGAGCATTAGTGACTTTCTTATCCCATGAAATCCTGCTGTTGCTTTGTGTAAGGGGCCATTCACAATTGTCATTAAAATTTTATTGAACATTATTACATAATTCCAAGACCCACTCACCCACTTCTTTTATTGAACATAAAAAAATGCTGAAATATAAGACCTGGTGTTGAATGAGAAAGAGTGAAATAAATGTCTTGTTAGTCACATTTATTAAATAAAGGCATTGATAAGAAAAAAAAAATTAATAACTGTATTGGCATTTTTCCACTTACTTTATTGAACAGGCTTGTACGTTTTTTAACAATCCATATTTTTTAATGATAACTGTGAATGTTACCTAAGTACTGTGTTAAAAAACTTGGCATAATTGCTGTACATGTCTTTTTATATTTAGTTTGTGATTTCTGAATTTATAATAAATATTTCTCTGTAGTGTTTGTTTTTGAATTTATTTTAAGAAAGGTTTTAAATTACTAATCTCTTTAGATCTATTATATATGTGTGTATTTATTTTCATAATATTCTTGAAATTGTGTATTCCTTGATTTCTGTGAGCTAAGAATAAACTACTTGTGCTATAATTTATATTTGAGGAACCAACATGTATGTGTATTAAACATAAAGATGATGATTTAAACTTTCAAAGGATTTTTTTTATAAAATATAATACCTTTTCAGGTTAATTTAGCTAACAGTGATTTTAAATTTGTTGCCACTAGAGGGAATATGATACTAGGATGTATTTTTAGTTGTTACACTCACTTCACTTAACAAAATGCAAACCTATGGGGTGGGTTATTGTAACTCAAGGTAATGGGGAAAAAATTAAAAACCCATAAAAGTAATGCTATTTTATTGAATTACAAAAACGTGTAACAACTGTGACTAACAAGAATCTTTAAATTCACTAACATTTGATAGAGAAGATGGCTAAATACAAACTGGTAGGAAAAATTCATGTGGAATACATTGTTTTTATCCCACAAAATATTTATTAAACATAAAAAATACACATTTTACAACAACAACAGCTTTAATTTGTTAGCTAAAGAACTATAATGCATCATTCATTTCCTAGTTATTTGTTTTTGCAGTTTTCTGAAACTAATGTCTTAATAATAAGAGTATTTTTCATTATTTGTTTCATATGATACATATGATAATAATTTTTCTTAAAATCCATTCTTCACTGTAGAATGTATATAAAGAATCAAGGAATAATTAACTTGTTCACTTTCATCAAAAGTCATAACACTTTACCAAAAACCAGTTAGTTGAATGTATTCAGTGTGTTAGTAGACATTTTCATTGTGTGAGTGATATAAATTAGGACAAACAAAAGGGGTGTGTGTGTGTGTATATATAGCAACGAGATATCTATACATTTTTGTACTTCATTTTCAAATTTTTTCTCTAGAGGAAACATTCTTAGCTAGAAGAATATGCCTTTAATTTTTTCTTCTTCCAGGCATTGAATATTTTTCTGTATTTTATTGTATTTATATGACATTGAATATTTTAAGTGGTAAAAAATAATGTTAAATGGTTGATGGTTTATACTTTGAATAATTTTTAATTTTCAAGAAGAAATATATTGTTTATTAATGCTTTTTTTAGTTTTTGAAAATATAAGGGTTGAGATAAATATGAAGTAAACAGTTTTTAATCATTTTAGATTATATTTCAGTTATTGTTTCCTTATTATGTTTAATATGTGTATGTATATATATTTATAAAAAAGTTCATTTTAGATACCACTACATTTCCAGATATTACAACTATATCCCAATGACATCTAATTTTCATTCAACAGGTTTAATAAGATTATTAATTATGATTTTATTTTTGAGATTGTTTTCAGTTGTGGATGATCAATTTTCAGGAAACTTCATGTTCTAAATTATATGGAGAAAAACTTGTAAAAGTTAAAATAAAGAGAAGGCTTTTAACTAAATTCTCTTTTATTGTAAGTTGCAATTTAAGTCTTTTCTTTTGTCTTTTTTTGCAATTGAGCATATTATAAAAAATGTTATCAGAACATTTTATTGTAAAAGAAATATTGACTATATTTGAAAAAAAGCTTATAAATATAAATTGAAGGAAAAAGATTTATAATTGTTTTTATAAATCTGATTATTTAAATAGAACTCAGTATATCAGTGAATTACACTCACTGAAAAGTTTTATTTTACATTAAAATAAATTTCGGAAATATAATTTCATAGTTCTGATTTTAATAAATGCCATCTAACAACTGTTAAACTCTTCATTAAACTTTAAGAATTTAAAGCAAATATCAAGTGATGAAAAGAAACATAAATATAAATAGCTTTTCAAATATATTTTTAGTACTTTTGAACTCACGGGTTGTTTATAGAAAGTCACAGATTTTCACTTGTAATTTACACTTACTTTGATCAGGTTTCAACTGTGCTTCGCACAAGAAAGCCTTTTCAGTCAGGTGCCCTGCCCTACGCCTGTGAAAACTTCCAATTGTCCTGTTGTCGTGTGCAGTATTATGGAATAGCAATGCATTTTGGGTGCCTGTTAGATTCATGGTATTTGCTGTTTTTTTCTCTCCACCGTTTAACTCTACATGAATTTCAACTTGAAAGTAAGTTAAAGAAAGTATGGAGGAAATATTGGCCACTAACACTCAATTACTCTTGTCCCTCTTTAATGTACTCTGCAAGCTGCAACTTCTTTTTTTTTATGCCTGTGCCATTAAACAGTGCTAGAACTAAGAATAAATGTGTGAAAATAAAGCAGCTGTATTGCTGAAAATGCAACTTTTTATCATATAGAAATTATCAGAACATCAGAGATTAGCCAAACACACGCACACACATATACTGGTAAAGTACTTTTTCTGTTTCCAGCAAGCCTCAATACAGTTTTGTACATTAAATACTAATGATAGTCTTAAGCAAATTTTTTTTAAAAATTATGCTTCTAGCTTCTAAGTTCAGTTTGAAATTGGACCTCAAAAATGAATTGAAACAGGTGGAGTTCACAAAATGAGAAATTCAAATAAACATATACAATTTTGTGTCTAATATCTACTGTTTAGAAAGTATTTTAAAGTTATCCTTAGTATTGATTTGGACAGCTGGAATATTTTAGCCCAAAATCTTATGGTTACCTGTTTCATAAATATTAAGCTTAATTATATGTTGTTGTTTTTTTTTCCCATTATTCTTTAAGTATTAAATGCAAGTACATTGTAGTATAAGACTAGATATCTTACCTAATCAGCATTAATAGATGAAAATTGACTAACATTAGTAGGGATTGATGCCTTGTATATGTATTACAAAATAATTTGTTGATGATATATTTAAAACTATGTCATTTGGATAGTCTCTTTATATCTAGAGTAAATGAGGAATCATTTCAAATGTAATATCTGCCCTGAAAGATTGGATAACTGCTTTTGCTAATTTCAGTCATTAGTTATAGTACTTGATGGAGAAATAAGCATTTCAGATGTTTACAAAGTTCTCTGTTTATCAATAATTGTAATCCCTTTTACCTGGAAAATTTCAAATTTGCTGTACATGTTTAAAGGTAGAAAAAATATCTTACAATTTTTTACCTGGGCTGCACACTGACATACGTGCTGCAACATAGCTACATAACTGGAGTGAGGAGAGTCTGCTTTGACCAGTCCTAAAAACTGCTGTTGCATGCAGCCACAACTAAATAAATTGTTGCCATCCAAATATTTTATTCCTTATGTTAGGCTTGTTTTTGTTTTTTACTATAATGGATGTAGTGTATGTCATTATCTATGTATGTAACCAAAACTCCTGTGCCATCTATTGAATGGTACCACAAACAGAAATTCATAAAACATTTCACACTTTGGGTATTCAAGATTCAGACTATTAGAAAAATAACTGTGATATGTGTAACAACCAATTCTTTATAACAGAACATAATTTAAATAAAAGTACTTTCACTAGGATTGTACATGAGGGTTTGATTATATCTTTATTGATGTAATTTTTAAATGTAGTACTGAGAAACTGAAGTTCTTAAAAAAATATTATTTTGTCAATAATAGTTCCAGTGATTCTCACCTGTAAACAATGTAATTACCAAATATTGTAGAATTTGTCTCCTTACCCTAAAGCATAGGTTTATATTTGTTAAGTAGTTATCACCCCTTGAGGATATAATTTTCATGGTTTTGTTTCTCACATAATTTTCCTTCTGTTTTTGTTATTAGCACATCTTCTGGGTTACACCCATTTATGATTTCACAATAACTACTAATGAATATCAGTTCTTAAAATAGCTACCAGCAAAGTTTAGATTCCAAGGGATAGAGCTGATTATAATCTATTTATATGAATTTGTTGTGAGTAAAGTGGTATGAGAAGTAACTTGTGGCTTCTTGAGAAAGTTAGATGGAACTCCTGCAGAGTAGAGCAGCAGTGGTATTTAGTGGGAACTTTATAAGACTTGGGAACAAATGACAGATCTGATTGTTGTTATAGGTCATCAGTATATTTTGTCAGTTTCCTATGTATTTTTTATAGTGAAAACTACTGCAATTGACATATTGAAATATCAAAAGAAATATATTAATTAATCTCAAACAAGTTGAAACTGTTTGTTTATATAAAATGAGACTTTCTGACCAACAAGAAAAAAAATTCAATTCTAAAATGAAAGGAAGTGTTTTGGTTTTTGTTGTTTTCTTCAAAAAGTCTTGCAACAAAATTTGGAAAATTTGTAAATGTAAAGTTTAGTGGAAAAAAAAATTTTATGATTTTTTGAGGAAAATTTTCACTGAGTTATTCTCAAACTTAAACATACTGTATGGTAACTTATTAACTACATCAATTTTGTGCATATTATTTGTGCTTTTTTTTTTCCCACCATGTGTGTGGATCATTTAGTAATCTGCCTGAGACTTATTTTCTGTTGTGCCAAATGGTATTCAATAAAAAAATCACCTTTTTTTTTTTCAAATGAATAAAATGGTGTGCAATATATATTTTGTGTAGTGTGTAACTTAACTTAGAATAAATATTTTGGGAAATTTAACTTGGACTGAATTGCAATGAAAGTTTATTTCAGCACAATAATCTTTAACTTCTGCACTTTTTAGTGATTTTTACCTTCATTGTGAATTCTTTATTGTTATATTAGTTATGCTAATGGTGGACTGATTCATCTCTCAGTATCTTTGATAATTAACCATTTTTTGTATCTGTAGTTTTATGTTTTCTGATTAATTTAATGAAAGTAATTACCTCATAGTTCATTTGTTATTTATATTGATCATAATGAATATCCACAACATTGAAAAATGGTTGTGAATCTGTTGCATATTAATTTTTTTACTAACATTCTGCATTTTAGGATATTGATATCCTATGTTTCTTTCATCTTTAGAAAGATTGAAAACTGGAATGTAAAAGAAAAAAACTTATTAATTAAAATTGTCCATATTTGTTAGTAATTATTTGTTTTATTCAGGTGCAAGGTATTAATGGTCACCAAATAGCTAATTACCATTATTTATTTCCAGGACTGCTTAACTTCTAAGATAATAAAATATATTAGAGCCAAGCAGTTATTTTGATTAACCAATATAATTGTTTACATTGAGTAGTGTCATATAAAATATATAATCAAAATTACAATTACTTCAAATAATGTCATGAAAATAATCAATTGATCAAAATTAATATTTCCAGTTATTACTGTTTTCAATTATTCCAGCTGTTGAAGTAATCGAAATATTACCATTATCATTTCTCATTACTTTTGTTAATTCAAGGTTTTTAATCTTAGGTTAGACTCATGACTCTAAAAAAAGATCAACTGAATTAGTGTTTCCATTTATCACTGTTTTTTGTTATTTCTCAATGGATATTTTACAACTTAATAACTAAATAAAAATTATATTTGTTTAAGCAATACTAGAATTAAAAGAATATGTGATAGTTGAGGTGAGTATTTCATTTTCAGGAGTTAGAATTAATATGCGTAATGGAATAAGGTATTGTTTGTAATGTATCAGTTCTTCCTGGGTATAGAGCTACATTTATTTTGTTATCTTTATTTTTGGAGGCTTGTTCTTTTCCCTCTGTTATGTTTACCAATAACTTTATTTGTTGAACTGTATTGAGGCTTTGCAGTTTTGCACACGTATACATATCTTTATACATTGCTACAATCATTGGGCTTGTCTAATACAAAAACTTCTATTTTGAAACATTGCATAATGATGAAAGTTCTCTGGCTAGTATTATTTTTCTCATGTTAATACAATGATAGCATGAAACATAGAATGTGGAATATGGATTTTTTAAAGTGTAAGAAGAAAAATTTTTAATTTAATATATATGATGTAAACTACAAACACTAAGTCAGATGTTGTATATTTTCAATAATACTAAGTGTATAGATTTATGAATATTTAAAATTTGTAGTTTAAGAAGCCTAAGCTAACATCAAAATATACATACATATATATATGTATGTATGTGTGTGTGTGTACGTATATATATTTTTCATTATATACAAGAAATTTCAAGATCTGACTGAAAGTTTTCTTTTCAAACTTTTTTGACTCCATTATTCTTCCTTCTTATGTAACCAAACATTTTTATTTATTTCATGCTATTTATTTTTATGTTTACTGTTTTTAGTTTAAGGAGTTCTTGTTAATGTAATGTTTGCATTGAAAAACATTAAGAAATCAATTACAAGTCTGTAACTAAGCAAAGTGAGAGACTGATGAATATGAGTTTTATTTCAATTAAATATTATTATTTTATTTTGTAATATCATTGTGTAAACTTCAACACTCTGTTCAGTACAAAACCATCTGTAACTCCTATCTCTGATACAGTAGCTTTTTATTTAGAAATTTTAACTACATTTGATGTTCAGGTTTATTGCTTATTTGATCATTGATAAGAGAAAACAGAATGAGGTGGAGATAGTTTTATAAATTCTCAATTATATCAAAACATTGGAGAATAATATGTAAGTTAGAAAAAATCAAGATTCATTAATAAAGCTTTTAAGTATTAACTTTGGATTTACTTTGGGAAATGTGTATTTGAAAATTAGGTAAATCTTAATATGTGTAAAACGAACACTGTATTTCTAAGTTTTTCATCTTTGGTGTGTGTTGACATTCTTCATATCCACTTAACCCTATCATGCAGTCATGAAATACCTTACAGTGTTCCAGTGGTCGGGTCTGGAAGACCTGTACAAGCAATATTGTATATTTTCTCAAAATAAAAAGATGACTTCTACAGAAATATTTGTCACCAAATTGTAAAGGAATAGAGAGATGGTCATGGCAACATATGCATCTATAACAGAATTATTGCACAAAAAGGATTGTGCTGGGTCTCTTGGACCCAGAACTGCATTCTAGGGTTAAGAGTTCATATGTTGTGAGGTAACGTGAATAGTCACTGAACATAAACACTATTCATGCCTGTCAGAAAAAAACAAAAAACCTAATGCTTTCACTATGATCTTAAATTTAGGACTACATTGTAGTTTTGTTCAACCATACCCTACAGTCACATTTATTATATTTTAAATCAAAATGCTTGCTCAAAATTAACAAAATAAATAATATTTCTGCTGAAATAACTTTGCTTTTACTTGTAATCTAAAACCAGTTGATAAAGTATAAAAGGTCTAAACCTAACTTTTTCTTGGTATTATTGCTGTGGCTTGATTTAGCACTCCCACATCAGTTTGTGGATATTCTTCTTCTATATATATTTCTGCTGTTTGATGGCATCCACTACACAATTCTAGAAATGAAGATTCTGTTTTTAACTTTTTAGGCAAAGGGATAAAGTAGGCCTCATTGTGTAATATTTGTTTTTCTAAAACTGTTGTATCATAAAGTAATTTGTAATTAGCAATTAATGGGTGTATGTTTTTTTTTCAAATTGTTGACTTCTGCAGCTAAGGGTGAATTATAAATTTGAACATTTTTCTGTACACTCTGAATAACTTTAAAGTTTATTGGCCAAGAAAAACTGCAACAGTGTTGAGTTGCTTAGTATTAGTCAGAGTGCTTTGCACTACCCGTTCATCCCGTTTTGATGATTTACAGTAATGTATATTGTTACGACTTATCATTGATTGCAGTTGCCACAAAATACAGGTATCTGGGGCATCACTGATTTGGGCAAGAATGATTCAGTAGTATTAATAGGATATATAAATAAATTAGGTTGGAAGTGCATAGACTTTTATATTTTGTACTGTGTTTCTAATGAGACATTTTGTTGTAATAAAATCTACTATACGTGGTACAGTAATATAGTACTTCACCTGTTTCTTATAAGAAAAATATTTTGTAAGTATTTAAAATTTTATTAAATATTAAACTTGTTGTCAAATATATCACTTGGTTAATATATAAGAGATGCAGACTTTGATACTTCAAAAAATGTTTTTCCATTTGGTTGCAAAGTGTTAAAAACAAAACATTTATTTCTATACCTCTTTTTTTTTATTAGTATACTTGTATTATATAATTGTTTTCTATGCCAAAGTTAAATGGAGCACTGTGATTGTTTAAGTTTTTCTGAAAGCTTTTTTCTACATAGAATTAAAGGTTTCAGTATGTTTTATGTGATTGGAAGCTTTGTTAGAATGCAGTTATACTCTTGTAACTCACTGTTTTAAAAGGTAGCCAACTGTTAATACTAGAATGTTTTTTGTTTTATCTTATGTGTATGCAAATCCTTTTTTTTTACTCTACTGACATAAATTGCCAGTATATTATTTAATTTAAGAAAAATTTAGCTTTGTAGCAAAGTGTGTATTCTAACATCTTGTAGCTAATTTTGTAATATTTCAGTTTTTAACATGATTTCAAAATAAGACATTTTATTTTTTAAATTATAGAAATTTCTTTAGGCAGTAGTTTTGCATGAAAGTGTTTTTAGCTTAGTTTGATGTTTTTTCAGAATATTTTGTCTTTGAACATGGCGATAATGTGTATGTATATATAAATATATATGGCTGTGAGGAAGAAGCATTGAAAAGATGTATTTTTAACCATATTGGTTTATCTACACAATTTGATAAGTATGATAAAAATTGAAGTAATTATTTCACTTATCAGAATGCAAAACTACATTTTATTCATTACTGCAGAATTACCAATATATATATATATATATATATATATTATTTAGAATTAAAGGTTACAAATTCTTTTTGTGATAAAGATTTTTTGAAAAAGTGTACAATTTCATAAAAGTGATAAATATAATTCTAGATATACCTTGAAGAACATTAAAACTGTTTGGTGTATCAAATTTGTTATGAACTTTGAAATAATTGCATAGTGCTTTTTATATAAATTGAAGGAATAAACGTTTAATCTAAACATTCCAGTATGTTACTCTGTAATGAGTATTTAAAGCTGTTTAAACTACTGAATTAAATTTTTTCTGTTTATGATCAAAGGAATAGTTGGCTGAAAGTAGCCCTTTCCCATTGGTGATTAATGGACATCTTTTTTTTTACTTTATCTTCTTAGCTTATCCTTTAGAGTAATATCTCCTAATTAAAGGAAAAAACAAAACAAAGACTTTTAATTTTTTAAATAGTAGATTAAAAAATGATAATTTCTCTGTGTAATTATGGGTGAAATGATTACAATTAAGTAAGAGCCTGTTATATTTTGTTATGATTACTATTTTTATCCCTACATTTCTTGAATATTAGCGCTCATTGACCTTATATTTGGAGCCTTGAAATGGTCATTTGTTTATTGGGACTTAAAATTTGAGTTTTGTTCTTTAACATCTGAAATACTAATGTACTGACATACCTTTATTTGTCGTGAATGGATCATAATGAAAACACAGTAAGATTTCATAACTACTTTAAATGTTTAGAGAACTATTAGTTACTGATTCTTCAGAATTATATGCTTGAATCCAATGCTCTCTAAATTAGAGTCAGTCATTGTTTTCCACAAAATGTCTAATTTGCATATTAAGCTAATCTGTTTTGTTCAGTTTAGGATCTACACTGCTTAGCCATTTAGACTAAAATTTGAAAAGAGCTATCATATACAAATATTTCAGCTCTACCTTATTCTAGAGGATAAAAGAAAACCAAAATATATCTATGTTGTGCATTGAAATGGAAATAAATTATTTAACTAATTATATGTATAAGAGAAAATTTATAATCTTGAACATTGATGATAGAATACAGTGGTATGTGTAACATTGTTGCTGTTGGTGATATAATACAAATCTCACCAGTATACTTTGACTTAACTATCTTACTAGAGTTTCAAAATTACTATAAGTTCTGTTACTGGAACTTTGCTGAACTAGTAAAATTCCAGCAGCACTTAGGAATAAGGGACAGATTTTATTGTAATAAACAACAAAATTTATATATATATATATTATTACTGGTAGCTCAGTGGTAAGCTTGAGAGCTTGTAAGAATAGAAATCTGGGTTTGGTCCCTTTGATGGATTCTACAGTGTAGAAGATATCCCATTGTGCAGTTTTGCATTTAACAACAAACAAATAACCTGTGGCTTAACTACCTTTGTTTGAATACAAAACTAACCACATTTTCACAACCTAAACAAAATGATGTTTTCTAGCTTTCAGAAGATAATATTTTTCTTCGGTTAAGTAGGTAGTTTGATTATAGCCTATAAAATATGATTTGTAACTGTTGTATTTTGTAGATTTTATATGTTGCAGATTACAAGATGCTACATGGATGTAGTACTTTCTTAACATCCTGAGTATTTAGATTATTTTAAAGATTTTATTGTATACATAATGGTATAGATTGTCATCAAAAAGTATGATGAGACAGATTAATTCCTTTTTTTATTAAGGTAAACACCAAGAGGAAAGGGCTATTTTATTATAATTGTCAAGTTTTTCTAAAATCCTCATTATTTATTTGATTTCAGTTACACAGGAGACAACATTTTTCATATTGCAGTAGGAAAAAATAACTCGCTAACTTCATAAATGTTTTCTTTTATTATAGGTGAAAAAAGATTTCCTGGAGCTTTTGAAGGAACAGAAAGATTTGGATAAGCATTCTCGTTGGAGCGACATCAAAAAGTTGATTAATGATGATTATAGATATAAAGCTGTTGAAAGCAGTTCACAAAGGGAAGATTGGTTTAAGGAGTTCATCAGCAGGCTTTCTAGTGTAAGTAGAAATTGATATAAAACATTTTGTTGTTTTGGTTTCTTTTTATGCCTCTTTTATGTTTTTAAATGTAGTACTGTCCAGATATTTAATTGACCATAAGTACTGTAGATCATATTCATGTAGAAAGAGGTTTCCAAAATTTTCTCACTTACTATTTAAGGAAAGAACTTTCTTTAATGGAAGGCTTACTATCAGAATTTTTCTTGTAAATAAATGAAATGCAGTGTTAGAATTATAAACACTTCAAAATTTTGTTATTAGTGAGGTTTTTAATGTCCTCTTTCTTATGTTACAAATATCATTTGTTCAAAAGTACTATTCTTGAAGTTTTTGTGATGCTAATTTCTGAGCAAAATTCACATAATGGAGTTTAAAAGTGATAAATTCCCATTCCACTGTGAAATGAATAAACCTTTGAAAAAGAGTGTTGATTAATATTATGAAATAACATTTTAGTGTTAACTATCTTCCACTTGGAATTACTTAAGAAAATTCTTTCCATTTCATAGTAATGAGCCATTGCCACACTGACCAGACAGTAGCAATAATTATATACTTCATGTTGAAGTGTTATCTATTTTGCTGTATTGAAACAGCAGTAAAGTTTTTTTCACTCTTTAGTTGCCATTGCTTTCAACCTAAAGGAGTAGGAAACTTCTGTCCTTAACCAGTTTAGCTTTGGTTAAGGACAGAAGTTGCAATAATATGCAAATCATCAGAAGAACCTGAGCTTTAGTCTTGTAAAGCTTGTTGAGCTAAGTTCAAGATATATCATCTGAGAACTTGAGATTTAACATGTAGAGCTTATTGAGTTTAGATAAAGATGTCATTCCTGAGAACATGAGATTTAATCTTATAGAGCTTGTCAGGTTTAATTAAAGATATCTCACCTGAAAACATGAGATTTAATCTTATAGAGCTTGTCAGGTTTAATTAAAGATATCTCACCTGAAAACATGAGATTTAATCTTATAGAGCTTGTCAGGTTTAATTAAAGATTTCTCACCTGAAAACATGAGATTTAATCTTATAGAGCTTGTCAGGTTTAATTAAAGATATCACACCTGAAAACATGAGATTTAATCTTATAGAGCTTGTCGAGTTTAGATAAAGATGTCATTCCTGAGAACATGAGATTTAATCTTATAGAGCTTGTCAGGTTTAATTAAAGATGTCTCACCTGAAAACTTGCTATTAGTCTTGTAGAGCTTCTTGAGTATAGTGAAAATATCTCATCTGAGAACTTGAGATTTAAATTTGATGACGAGGAACCCACTTTGAGACTAATAATGGCTGGAGACGGCTTAAATGGGTAATGAAGAAAAACTTT